CCTTGTCCTATTGCTGAGTGCCTGGGAGAAGAGACCAACCCCCACCTGGCCAGAACTTCCCTTCAGGTAGTTAAAGACAGTGATGAGGTCACCTCTGAGCCTCCTCTTCTCCAGGTTAAACAGCCCCAGCTCCCTCAGCCTCTCCCCATAGGACTCATGCTCCAGTCCCTTCCCCAGCCTCGTTGCTCTTCTCTGGACCCGCTCCAGCCCCTCAATGTCCTTCCTGAACTGAGGGGCCCAGAACTGAACACAATACTCAAGGTGTGGCCTCACCAACGCAGAGTACAGGGGAAGGATCACTTCCCTGCTCCTGCTGGCCACGCTATTTTTGATACAGGACAAGATCCCATTGGCCTTCTTGGCCACCTGGGCACACTGTTGGCTCATGTTGAGCTTCCTGTCAATTAGTACCCCCAGGTCCCTTTCTGTAGTTGACCAATTGAGATTTACATTTACATTTGGAAGGTGACACATAACAAAGCTGATGGCCTCCCTGGGAACAGAATAACTGTAACCCTTAACTGGGCAAAGGCAAAAGCTGGGTCAATAGTTTTGCTCAGTTTGAAGTAGCACCAATTAGAGGGGAAGGGGAGCAGGTGAAGAAGCAGCTAAGTCAGGAAAGACTCATGTTCTGCATTCTCCTTGAACAGGCAAAATTATGGAATTAAAGAAACCAACCACATCAGGTAAATTCACACAGCTGCACCTCTTTTCCTGTTGTAGGAATGTGTCAGATACACACTGATGTGTTGTAGTGAAGAAAATTTGTAGGAGCTGCTCAGAATTTAAACTGCATGTTAAAGAGTGAGCACGTGAATACAGAATATCATCCCAATTTTCAGCATTAGATAGGAAACAAGAGGATTGTTTTTTGAAACAACTGCAGACATTCAGTAAATCATCTGCCCTTTGCTTGTGATGTTGAGCAGAACAGACATTTACCAAATTATAATGGACAAAGTAGACATTTCTGTTTGGTTTGTTGGGTAAACAATATTTTCTCCAGTTGCATAAAGGCTCTCACAAAAGCATGAAGATACAACAGAGATAGAAAATGTCAAGAAATGCTCTTATTTTAATTACTGCTTTCACTAGATATCTGATTTTTACTATGCATGGTGGATAGAATGAATGGATTAGTAATTTTTTATTAAGATGAGCAATAAAGATACTGTCATGAGCTGGGGGCAATAAGAGAGAGATTCAGCAAGCAGTGTTGTCAGGACTGGAAATTTGATTAAACTGAAGCTCTCCTTGCAAAGATCAGTGCATCAGTTGAGCTTTAGTCAGCCACATCATCCTGTAAATTGCTCTCCAGATAAGGCAGCACATAAATTCCCTTGGCAAAGACACCTCACCTCAGAGCAGCTGCTACAGACACAGCCATGGCCTTCAACGGCACTTGGAAAATAGACAGAAATGAAAACTATGAGAAGTTCATGGAGGCGCTGGGTGAGTCTCACTTTTCCAATGCCCTCTGCAGGAAAAATGCCACTCCAGCTGAACACAAACTCGAGCTGCCTCTGAACTACCTTGGGGACAGCCTGTCCTTTCAGTATCTGCTCTGCCCCTTGCACAGTGTACTGCATTGACTTTCAAAATATTTCATGGAAGGGGGAGGATAAAAGGTGCTGAGAAATGTTCTGATTATGTTATATTAAATCTTGAGCACTTCAACTAATTCCAGCTTTATTTCAGCAGAAAAAAAGAATCCCTAAGTACACATTTAAGGAAAAGGCTCAGAGAATTTGCATTATAAACTATTAGGAGAATTCTATAGCAGGAATATTATTTTGATAACATTAAACTAGTTGAAAAATTACCCAGGGAGGAAATAATCATCTTCCATTTTATAGAAACACAACTCAAGTAATTCTAACATCCTGATACTTAAAGTTTGCACAGACTGTGCATTATATGGATATAAACATAACCACCCAAGTTAGACAGTGGTTTGTAGTAGGTGTGTACTGGTGAATAGGGCCTCAATAAAAAGAGAAGAAGAATAAAAAATTCAGTCAGAATGCTGGAATAAACTCACTTGGACCACGTGAAAGTCACTAAAAAGAGATAAATATGATCCTCAAGGGGTTTGGGTGTTTCTTTTCTGATGGCTGTTGATTGATTTTGCCAGGTGTTAACATGATGAAGAGAAAGCTGGGCGCCCATGACAATCTGAAGATCACTATCCAGCAAGATGGCAACAAATTTACTGTCAAAGAAGCCAGTAACTTCCGTACCATAGAGCTGGAATTCACCCTGGGAGCCAATTTTGACTACAGCCTGGCTGATGGGACTGAAATGAGCGTAAGAGTCTTCCCGTACAACTTTATATTTTTTATATGATAATATCTTCATGAGCTACAGTTTCAAGATAAATTAGTGTTAAATTTAAATTTCACTTTGCAAGAGTGATCGTTCAGGAATGCTTGCAGCTTATCTACAAAAAAGCACAAGGTAGTCGTAACTGGTAATGGTTCACCTGTGGAACTCAGGGTTCCATAGAGAGCCCGAAAACGTGGAGCAAGTGGCAATTTTCATAGGAAGAAATCCAGGTGATTGTAATTTTACTTATTCCAATACTCAAGTCCACCACCTAGAGTACAGAGTGGGTATTTATAGGAAGCTACCTTTGTTGATACAATTAATTAAAATAAGGTGTACTGGCCACTAAAAAATATCTAGCTTGACTATTATGCAATTAAATGAACTAATGGTTTTATTAAAATTTCATTTTTACAGCCTTTCTATAAAAGCATTATTACACTGTTTTAATTTTATCTTTGAAAGCATTCTGCAGTCTTTAAATCAAATCAGTGTCTCAGAACTGTTGCAAAATATTTGGGGGTTTTTTTTCCCATTATAGGGAAATTGGAACCTGGAAGGAAATAAACTTGTGGGCACATTTACCAGAAAAGACAACGGGAAAGTACTCAAAGCATACAGAGAAATTGTAGGTGATGAACTTGTTCAGGTGAGTTAAGCAGTTACTTACACAACTTAACAACAGAATGAAGTGAAAAAAATTTAAAAGCTGTTCTGAAAGTAGGAATATTTCATCAAAGCCAAATAACTTCCTTTACCTTTAGTTAAAATCCTCCAGTCACCTACTAAAATTTAACACTTTAAAATAGAACTCACAACCTGTGATTTTTATGTTATCCTCCACGTGTGAACTGTATCTTATCCATGCATTCTGAAGCCTGCTTACAAGTTCTATACAGGAGACAGACAGATAAGTAAATATACACTGTATAGATGTGTTGTGGCTAAAGGCCCTTTTCCAAGTGTCCTTTGGGTTTTTCCTGAAGCCCCCAAAAGCTGCCCTGTGCTGGTTCAAACATCTGCACAGAGAATTTATGCCTGCTGACAACAGGCTGCTTTCCTTATGTTCCTCTCCCCAGAGCCTGCACAGCCACCCCTGACAATTCATTCCTTCATTACTGACCCCTTCTCAACAGCATCTGTGAAAGGGAACTTTGCAATACCAGCCACTGATTTTTCTTCTCCATTTCTTAACAGACCTATATATATGAAGGAGTTGAGTCCAAGAGAATCTTCAAAAGGGGCTGAGCGCTTCACCCAGAACAGCACCAGAATGAAGGAGCAATGAAAGATCATTTTCTACACGTCCTCTGCTGGTTTTTTTTCCCTTTTATCCCCTCACAGCACCTCCTAAGCTGCAATTACCTAGCCCTGGTGAAAACGCAGGCTAGTTCCTTATGTTACTGTTTTGCCTTGAATAAAAAAAAAAAAAAAATCCAATTACCATATGCTAAAATGTGTTTACCAAGTCCTACCTGAGTGCCATAAGATAAAGGGCTGCAGAAACTATTTTGCATAAGCAAAACTTACATATCTTTGCACAGGTTATCAAATGGCAAGTTAGTTTCCTTACTGATTTTCCTTAGTATTTATACTGAGAAACAGTTTCTCTGTGTATTGGATGTTGTGTAATAAGGATGGCAAAACCTAAAATAAACCTTACAACACCCAAGGCTCCAAGACTGTTCTATGTAAGTATAAACGTGGAGTAAAATATGATGTCTTCAGCGTCTCACAGCTCCCTCTTCTGCCAAAATGCTCTCCTGGTACAGGCAGTAAACCCACAAACCACAGCTCCTTTTGCTCTAGCGAGGTAACACAGAGAGGTACAAGGCTTAAAGGGGAAGTATTGTCATTGTTTCGCCCCAAAATCTCTAATATACTTCACCTAACACACATATGCTTATCCAATATTTGCTATATAAAACCACATTAATCCTTATTTCTATTGACAGAACTTATCAAGGAAAATAACTATCCCGAAGTGCATGTTTAGAAGTAAGCTCTGTTCAGATACACCTGCTTGCATTCTTCAGCAAGCATTGCCTTATCTCTCAATATGAGGCTAAAAAGGGTTAATAGATACAAAGAGGAAGTTTTTGTTTAGCATATTCCTAGGCTTCTGGTCACTCTTCTGGACATGATGAAAATAATTGCCCTGCTTTCAGTATGGAGGGAACTGGCTGGACTGAGGGTGGCACATCCCGACTGTGAGTGTGGCATCAGGTTGTGCTGCTCCATTTAATTTCTTCTGCACCTGTGTGTTGCACAAACAAAGGACACAGAATACACCGTCTACATGAACTTTTCCATGTTTGTTTCGTGTACAAACAGCAACTAACCTTCAAGGAGAGGAGTGTATCTTAAAACAACTTCAGTTTTCCCAGACTTCTTCACAATAGGATTTCCCACATGATCTCTTGGTTTCTTTCAGGGCATCGTCTGCTCACCAATAAACCGCATCGGGATTAACTTGTGGATGTTTACTCCCACACAAGTCCGAGTACATCTGACAGGACAAGACCAACGCGGTTTGACAGGACTGGCAACCTGCTCTTCCCCACACCCGCGTCTCACCGGGCGGGCTTCCCTGAGGCGATGCCTGAGGACGGAGGGGCGATCCCTGCGGCGGGAAGAGCGATCCCTGAGGCGGGAGAGGCAGGGCGGTACCTCAGAAGATGAAGGGCGGGATGGTGTGTGGGGCGGGAGGGACAGGGCAGTGCCTGAGGCGGGAGAGGCGGGAAGGGCAGTGCTTGAGGCGGGAAGGTCAGTCCCTGTGGCGGGAGAAGCGATAAAGGGTGTGCCTGAGGCGGGAAGAGCAGGGCCGTCCCTGAGGAGAGAGGGGTGGTGCCGGAGGCGGTAGGGGTGGGGAGGACCCTGAGCAGATGAAGGGCGGGGCGGTACCTGAGGCGGTACCTGAGGTAGGAATCACCTGAGGCGGTACCTGAGGCGGTACCTGAGGCGGTACCTGAGGCGG